ATGAGAAGAGACGAAGAAGAGAAGAGGAGATGAGAAGACGAGAGAGGAAGACAGAAACAGGAGAGAGAATAAGAAAGAGAGAAGAGAGGAGAAGAGAGAAAAAGAGAGAAAAAAAAATGAGAAAAGAGAGAAGAGAGAGAAGTGAGAGAAGAGATGAGACGAGAAGAGAAAGCGCAACTGTAAAATGCGTGGATACTAAATCCTCCGTTCATCAAATTCTTACCTGCTCCACTTGCCCTTGGAATCGTTTGCATCATGCCCGGCTGCGCAACCATCAGCATCTGACCTGCTGCACTGGGGCGAACTGTGCCGATGCTCGCAACAGGGTTTGTTACAGTAGAGAGAGAAGAATTTGTTGCAATGTTACTAACACCCTGAGAAGATGCCAGAAGGCCAACGGGTCCACCAGAGACTACATTATTAGTACTGCTGGAAGTTGGAATCATCTGGAAAAAAAACAAAGAATAATAAGTACAATAAGTAACAATAAGCACCAATGGTTTCTTTTCATGAAATCAACGCCACCAGAATACACCTTCCTTTTCAAAGATTTTTTGGGTTTTATTACGCAGGAAGACTTTTCACTTTAATCTAATATTTGTCTAAGCATTACTAAAGATTGGTAAAAATAGAGAAGAAAGAAGGAGAAACAGATAAAGAAAAGAGAGAGGTCAGGGCCCGAAACTACATTTTTTCACACTTTTTTCTAACGTATTTCGTCAATTGTCCCAGTCTTAATCCATAATCATGTCTTTATTATTTTGATACCAATAAGTCTTAAATGATCATGAGAAATACATAATAATGAAAAGCACTTAATTGAGATCCTTATATAATAGCTATAGACTATTACCACTATTACCTAATAATCGCAAGATCACCTCAGTACGTTGAAATCCTCTGCACTTCGGCCTATACAACCACCCTAAGCCACATCCATATGTTTGCACAACTTTGATGGGTCACCTGCTATTCATCCCTAAAATCAGTCACACAAACACACACACACACATTCGGTCTACTATTTCTGCCTACAAATCAGATATCCCCTTAATCCGTCTTTCACATCTGGATGATGTCACCATGTCATGCATGGTCAAGCCTGCTCCTCATTGCACATGCTAAACAGTTGCATGCTTGTGTGGCCCTGGATGCAGTTACTGAGGAGAAACAGCCACTCAAAGGCAGCCATAAAGCCACCTTACCCAAACAACTGTTTCTGCTGCAACCAACAGCATTGAGATTTGGGGTAATTTCATTTTGTAATTTTCTCTGAAGCAGTTGACCCCTATGTATGCTTCAATATACCGCAAGAGGTTCCTGTCATGAGTGGGTATGTCTATATGTAACCCTTGTTTTTTCCCCCTCACATCCTATGAGCCCTCCATCACTGCACAATATGCTCTGATGATCTTTTTGCTGTCATGCCTTACCTTTTGATGCAAAATGCATGTTAGCCACTTTTTTCCCCTTGAATGGTCTATCTAAGGAAGTTAACTTTCTTGAGTAGATTCTTCTGAACTAAAGATTTGGTCCATCAAATATATATAAATAAAATGTGAAGCAATTTACCCCCCAAAACAAGTTATTTGATAGTATTTTTTTGGTTTTGACCATTTGGATTTTAGTGGATTTATATATTAATATATATGGTGAGAAATTCACTCATGCAAAATGATGTCTAATCACATCGAGTCCATCTGGTGGCTGGTAGCTGGAATGATGCCTTGTGAGCCTTACTATGAGCTGGACTATAGCTCAGGCATGGGCAAGTGCTCCCCGAGCAAGTTAGATTTTACCCTAAATTTTATCCATCATAAATGTTTTCAAATTGTTTTACAGATTCTGGGTATTTAATTGCCATCTATAACTGAGAAATTTAATGTAATCTGAAAGATGCTAATCATATTCTGGATTATAATCGTTATATAAATTACATAGTAGACAAAGAGAACAAGACCTAATATCTTACCCTATGGGATTCCACTGAAAACGGGACCATTTAGAAAAACACCAATGAAGGCCTAGAATCCTATGATTTCCATGTGCATATTTTGTCAGTTTGATGAGTTTCCAAGGCCTGATCCTGTTAGTGTTTTATACACTGTGTTGGATACAGGTGACTCCATCACTTATATTCAAAGACATTTCGGACATCCGAAACGGAGAACCGGACCTGTGTCTTGCGCCCATCAGCTAATCACCATCGGGTTATCTCAAAGATGCTTAGCTGATGGTTGCAAGATGCAGGTCCAGCTTTCTGTTTGTCTCTGAATATGAGCGTATCCCAACTTAAGCTGAAAAAACAGTTTGAGACATTGTTCATGCTTCATAAATTTTGCATCACCTTCAGAGATACTGCATCAATAACACTCTTTAGGATCACTGTGAACCTTGACATCTCAAAAACCAAGGGTTACCTGCTGCACAATGCTGTTCATTAGCCAGGAAGTCTCTTGTTCGGAATATGGTAAAGTGGGGAATGTAAGCTGGGTAAGGTGTTCACCAAAGTACCTTTGTGACACATGTTTCAATTATTTCTACTTTGTGATGCAAGTGCTGACCATATTGGACTATACTAGCCACCATGCCAGAGTCAATATCAAGATCACCCATATAAGTTGAAAATTATTTAACAATGCTTTTCCCCCTCATTAGTGATTACTGATGAGCTAATTATTGTCATTTAATCCCATGCTAACAGGTATGGTTACAGAAATCATAGAGATATTTGGCATCACGACTCGTTTTGTTAATCCCATCCTCCGCCACCACAACTGCCTACAGACACACCATACATTCGTTGGAGATGCTGTGGGGACCCAGGTCATGTCTGACCTTCAGGGTCTTTTTATATGCAGTTTCTTGCTTCAATAAGTACTGCAGTCTTTCAGTTCTCTTGAAAACACACTATTGGCTTGGTAAAAACACTCATAAAGTGGGAAGATATACTACAATATAAGAGAATAATGTTCTTCATAGGACATACTTTATGGCTACAATAAGCCTCAAAATCAAAATGTAAACACTGTGTAAAATTTCTGTAAACCTATCACCTGAGCAAGCTGAAATTTTCCATGGCCAGCCTGGCTGCACACAGCAAGCACCCTGGCAGCAAGTTCTGTGTGCTACCTACAGTCTCGGGCAGGAAAGCTAGACGTACATTATCAACTGTCAGCAAGGGGTTACATAAAAGCGTCCCAAACACAGTATTAAACCAATTCTGGTAAGCTATAGCCCAAGAACTAGCTCTTTCTGAGCCATAAAACTCTGCCTAAATAGTGTGTAGCTTGGAAAGCAGCCTCCACTATCATGGTATGTATAGGTGCCATGTATAACTTGGGCTTACCCTCATCATTGCATATACAAATGCCATCTTTTATTATCTGATTCCAAGAAAGGAGGGTCAAAGGGGAAAGGGTAAAAACTGAGAAATACTATATCAGAGGATAAATAAATTTTCACCTAATAGTACCTATATACATTACTAAATCTAAACAATTTATCAGCAAGCTCCTCAATCTGATATGAGTATACTTATGCTTATCATGAATATAAAACTCATGATACCAAACTAGAATTCCAAAAGAATATTTCAACACATAACATTGCTTGTCTCTATATAAATATGTCTACTCTTGTATTCAACCTGCTGTGTTCTTCAATGTCGAACTCACAGCTCTTACAAATCCAATTCTGATTTATCTCAGTGCTTTTTGCACGTAACAATTGTCTGAAAACTACTTGACAGTTTCTGAAACCATGCTATTAGAATTCTCTTTCATTGCAGGGTTTACGCACTGACCCTAAGTAAAGTTAGGTTTTGAGGTGAGATATGGCCAGGTAAGCTAGATAAGGTTAGACTGGGACTATGCTGAAAAAAAAAAAAAAAAAAAAAAAAAAAAACTATAAATTTCTCTAAACTGGAATTACCATTGTGACAAAAAGTCCATTTTACATTATTTTACGGCTCGCTCATGTCTTAAATCTTGGTGTGTCATATTTGGAAATAAGCTAATGTCTACTGAGTGCGATTTTTACCATCCCTGGAATGTGGGAGTGGTAGTAGTTTTGGGCCCCTAGAAGTTAAAGGTAGAGATGTAAAGTAGAGAGAAGGTAAGAGAGGAAGAGAGAAAGGAGAGGGAGGGAGGGAGGGAGAGGGAGGGAGGGAGGGAGAGAGAGGAGAGGAGAGGAGAGAGAGGAGAGAGAGAGAGGAGGAGGAGAGAGGGAGAGAGAGGAGAGAGAGAGGGAAGAGGAGGAGAGAGGGAGGGGAGGGAGGGAGGGAGGGAGGAGAGGGAGAGAGAGAGAGAGAGAGAGGAGAGAGAGAGAGAGAGAGAGAGAGAGAGAGAGAGAGAGAGAGAGAGAGAGAGAGAGAGAGAGAGAGAGAGAGAGAGAGTGACTGACTGACTAACCTGCGTATTAAATGTGACATTTGGAGGAGGGATACTTTGTTTTCGAGTATCAGTGCTTTGTACAGTGGTTGGTCTAATTGGACTTGATGCATTACCCACTCCAACCAGGGCAGAGGCTCTTGGGGCAATAGTCTTAATCACACCCGCACTTCCATTAGCATGTAATATACCCTTATTAATCTGAAATTTAATATAATATTTTCTAAAACTGTTCATACTCAAATTGGACATAAACTAAGACAGAATTTTGATACAAACAAAATATTCAGATTTTGGAACCATCCTTTTCTATCAGAATTAATTTAAAGTACACAGAAAACATACAATGTGAGGAGAGGCTTGTATTCCAACCGATCTTTTGATTCTGATTGGGGCGACATATTGGCCTTTTCTCGCTGCGTGTTCAGCTGACAATCGGTTGGTCACTTTCCGAAGATCCTCAACCTGAAATAGTTTTAATTGGTAAGTCTCTCCTATATGGTTTTCAAACTGACTGATATTGGAAGCCCATTTATCAACATTTCACATTTTCGTCTCTGGAAATGTGTCTTTTGTATGCTGAACGGAGAGAGAGAGTTTTCATTTTCAACGTCAAAAGCTTACCTCTTTGTGAAACTGTGCTGTCTTCTTGCGGTTTGTTTCTAAAGTCGATTCAGATCTTTCGCAAAGCTGCTTCAGTTTTCCTAATTCAGTCTGGTGTAAGATCTTCTCACTGAAAAGTCTCATTATCATATTCTCAAGATCCTGAGAAAGAAATAACCATAATGAAATAACTAGACTACATTCATAACATAACTATGTCATATTTTCAGAATAAACAGATAATCAGAGGTAAATGAACAGAGTAAGAGTGTGAATGTTCTTTATTTGAAACTCTTGATATGTTCTGTTCAGCATGCTGGCATTCATATTAATTACTATTAATTGGTGGTAATACTGGACAGAGTTACCAACTTAGCACCAGTGCTAGATCTAGCAATTTTTTTATGTTGTAGTATTATAAAAAATTTGCTTATTTGGTATTTCATTTATTCATTTATCTTTTTACTTAGCCTGTCTTGAATATTTCAGTATTTAGAAATTCAAACATTCGTTTATGTTAATGTGATTTTCGAAGTATACAGACACTGCATCACAATGAACATGTTATAAAAAATCTGGAACAGGTTCAGAGTGGCTGTACTCCCTACTTAAATCCCTCAAAAGTTCTTACAAGGTGATAGATCAAAACAATTTCAGAAACTGAATTTCGAGAATTCTCCTATGGCGTATTATCTGAGCAGCCAAAACCTATGTTAATACTAGACTACTGGACTCACTCACAATTATTTATCTACTTATTTTGCAGTTACATAGTAAGCAACTAATGTGCAAAGACTAATACTGATAAAGATAACATTTTCAGTTACATAACAAAAAAAGCTGGCAAATGATACCAAGCCTTTCCACAACAGGTTATCAAGTGCAGGGCCATCGAGAAAGTGTGTGTAACATTTTAAATTTGCCGACAAAAGGGTGTGATTATTGGGTGTAAAAACAAAAAAATTAGTCGTATCCTAAAACAATAGGAGTGAATTACCGCTATTGTTTTTTACTTGTTTCTAACTTGCTTTGCGCTCAATTGGAGATTATTAGAATTTTTTAAAATTTGCCAACAAATACCAGCTTTAGCTTCATTTGCCGACAGAAGCGTGATCATGACAGCCATGAGGTGCAAAGTGGCCTTACAGGAGTGTATATTCACAATCAACTCAAATCTGAAGAAAGTCTTTCTCTTTTGAAAATGGTTGATCATTGTAAATTAAGCTAGTAATAATACATAAATAAAGAATACTAGCTGGAACTGAGGAAACAAAATACTATACCAACTATAAGAGGTTCAAGGTTGACATTTTGTGTTATATTCTTAATCAATATGACCAACAAACATACAAACTCAGTCCTCAAGGATCTAGCAATGATGGCTGATGGAAATTACTATCCCTGGACTAATGGTGAGTGCTTTAGTGTCTTTGTGGTCAGTAGCACCCGTTGTTTATAATTTTGTGTGTCAGAGTAGAAAGAAATTAAAATGCACATCTTCCCTATCATTTTAATAAACTTGGCCTATTTCTTTAGTTCTAAGGTATGACTTTAATCACATTCAAGATGGTAACTCTGGTAGTATAATGAAACAACAGTGTATGTATTTATTTATGCCTGTCTGAGAGAGAGAGAGAGAGAGAGAGAGAGAGAGAGAGAGAGAGAGAGAGAGAGAGAGAGAGAGAGAGAGAGAGAGAGAGAGAGAGAGAGAGAGAGAGAGAGAGAGAGAGAGAGACACTGACTTACTTTTCTTGAAAGCCTTTGTAGTTTCTTCTTTATATGTTTACTTTCCCTGTCTTGTGCCGGTGCTTTCTCCACAGAGACTGGTGTTAATGTTTCCTTGTCTTTGTCATTTGGCAATACAGGCAGCACCTCTATGTCTTTGCTAGGTGAGGATATTACTTCAACATCGTAACTTCTAACATTATTTGCCGGAGGCTGTACAGTATGATTCGTTTTATCGTCATTAAAAAAGGAGTTTGCACTATTAAAAGAATCTGCTTTAATATTATCCAAGTCAGTCTTTCCTGCCTCTTCTAGTTTTTTTGATGCTTTGTCCAGATGCTGGTTGAATTCTTGAACCGCTATACTAATATCTCCCTGAAACGATAAAATGATCTGATGAAAATCATTAGTACTTTGGATTAATTTTTCAGTCATACAAGGGACATACACCTCAAATCCTTAAAGTCAACACTTATCCCTTCGCCACCAGGTGGCATGTGCATACGTGCCATGACTGTTGTGAACAATAGTAGTGGTATAATTTCTATGGTAAAATGTTAGGCAATAGCACCAAAAGTGAAGGTAAACCTTCAAAAACTTGATATATATATTTTTTTAAATTTGATATTTTAAAAATTTATCAAAATACAAACTTTCAGGTGCCTAATGTTGCCAGCAAACTACCAAATGAGCTGGGCACAAACAGAGGAAACTGTCAATGCGCGCCAGTAAACCCGTAATCATCTCAACAAGCCAAATTTTTTACCTGGCGTCATTGGGT